AGAACGCTGATGTCAATCTGACTTACTCATTGGTGAGTATACCATTGATTTTATTTTCTTTTTAAATGTTTTAGTATTTTATCTTCAGCCACAACACGTTTTGGATTCCATCTGGGGTTTTTTGTTTGTTTGTTTGTTTGTTTTCACTGCTGGTTTGTTTGTTTGTTTGCTTTGAGTTGGGTGTCACTGTTTCTCCCAGGCTAAAGGGCACCATAGACTCCAACGCCTCAGCTCAGGCAATCTTTACACCTCAGTGTCCTGAGTAGCTGGAACTGAGCCACCATTCCCAGCTAAGTCTTTGATTTTTTTGTAGAGATGAGGTTTTGCTATGTTGCCTAAGCTGGTCTCAGACGCCTGAATTCAAGCAATTCATCTGTTTTTAATCGTCTTGATGCAGTAGGTTGACTGGAACTGAGATACTTTCTAAATCTTAAAACTTATCAATGATGGGCAAGCCTCTCATCCATGCTTTGAATGCACCTTCCCTCCTTTCTCCTTACTTCCTTTCTCAGGAGCACATATTTGACCAGTGCTGGAACTTCTGGATCGTTCATTTCTAAGGAGTAGGCTCTCAGTGGTGGGACATCCGTGGTTGGTCCTATTGGCAGAGTCCTTGCTCTGCAGAGGTATCACATAACACCAGACCCTGCCATGCCTTCCTAGGCCAGTCACAGATGTCCCCTAGAGACAGTTCATGGAGGTTCATCTGGAAAGTCAGCTGCTCCTCGTGTAAGCATGTTCCCACCAGAGCCTGCAGGAGCTCACAACCCCAGCTGCCCTAGACCAGCTGCCTTCAAGCATAGGGGAACATCAAGGCTACTCTTGTGCTTACCTGAGTATTTTTAGAACTTTTCTTTCAGTCTTTTCACATACGAGGGAGACCCTTCCCCCCGAAAAAACCTGGAATGTATTTATTAAAAACGGTGTGTTCATTCTTATAGGTTTAAACTTCAATCACCTTCAAAGTACTCTCCGCTTGATGCAATACACCCGTCAAGATGCTTTTTCCACTGCTGACAACAGTTTTTGAACTTGTCAATTTTGATGCCTTTAGTACTTCTGCCGTCTTTTGTTTCGCCTCTTCCACATTGGCAAAATGTTTCCCTTTGAGGACTTTTTCCATCTCAGGAAGCAAAAAAAAAATGTTGTTTGGGGCAGATCAGGTGAATAGGAAAGCATTCTAGAAATCCTGGGGGTCATGTCATTTTGGGTCAAACCGCTGAACACTCAGCGTGGTATGGGCAGGTGCATTCATAAATCACCCACCATGAAATGGGCAAACACATGGAAAGAATCTCCAAAAAAATTTCACTGAAACTGAACGCAGCCTCTCACAATGTTAGCTAGTTCACTGATGCAGATGAGTTTCTAGAATGCTTACCTAGTGGGGAACGCCTATACTATAAGGAATCTGCCCTCCAAAACATAATTCTGGGATATTTGGGGGGTTCTCCTCATACACCTTCTGTCTTTTAGGGATTCCACATGATTTCTATCCACTAAAACTCCCTTCCTATATTTCAGGTACTACTAGAAATTTTGGAAATTAATGTATTTCTTTTGGCTAGTCCTATAATTTTGTAGTGGGAGAGGAATACCTGAGCCAGTGCTCAAACATTCTGACCAATTTTTTCATGGACAATTCTGAGTTTTCTGTGTGATTATGTTTCCTTGAGGCTTGAGGTAAAAACACTGAAGCAGATTTTACCCAGATTTTTGCTCAGACTGAGAATTTCCTTCTGCAGATGACGAATTCCTTTTAATTGGGAAAATGTTGTTTACTTTTGTCTTTGCCTTCGTTTTTCCTTAGGTTGGGCAATGCAACATAGATGCACCAGGGAAAAGGGAGCCACCATGGCAGAGCCAGGTGAGGATCCTAAAAGGGTTGAGGGTGGTACAGGCATAGGAGGGTTGCCCAGCATGGAGCCTAGGCAGTGGGAGCAGGAGTCCACACAGAGGTGGAAGGCTATACCTCTAATGGGGCATCATATCTAGCAGGATGAGAAGGGTATCCTTGGTGGCAAAGGCAGTCAGAACTTGAGCACAATGAGGAGGATATCTGCGCAAAGGGGGATCCCATATTTCATGGTGGCCCAAGGTGGGTGAGGGGGGATTTAACAGATCAGCAGACCTATATGGGGAACCAAGACCTGAGCCACATGAAGAGAACAAAACCCAGCATGGCGTGTGCAGACAGAGCTTCAGCAGGGTGGGTAGTGTCTGTGTGAGAGAGAGGACAGTAGAGGCTGCAGAGGAATCATTGCATACGGGAAGATGAAGTAAGAAAATTTATTAAGGATAATGGGAGCTAGGAGTCTCACTCTCAAATACAGGAGTTAGAAATATGGAAGGAGCTGGGTGTGGTGGCTCATGTCTGCAATTCTAGCACTCTGAGAGGCTAAAAGAAGAGGATTGCTTGAGCCCAGGAGTTTGAGACCAGCCTGGGCAACACAGCAAGACCTCGTCTCTACAAAAAAATTTTTTTAATGAGCTAGCTGTGGTGCCATGTGCCTGTAGTTTCAGCTACTCAGGAGGCTGAGGCAGAAGGATCACCTGAGGCCCTGGAGGTCGAGACTACAGTGAGCCATGATTGTGCCACTGCACTCCAACCTGGGTGACAGAGATTCTGACTCAAAAAAAAAAGAATAAATATGGAAAGGAGAAAATTAGAATTAACTCTTTGATTTTGAATCAGGATTAGAGGTATCACTGTAAACATAGATTTCAAACTATAGAAATAAATATATAAATATGTATTGTTTGTGCACATGCACAAATACATATATCCTAGCTGTCTATTGAGAGGGCCTGGTGAGAAGGCCTGGGAGTGCAAGTACCTCAACAATAAGCACCCTCCACGTACTCTGCTGGGCCAGAATTTTCTGCTTTTTCCATGGTCACCAGCATTTAAGCCTTGTGGATGTAATCCCTTTCCTGGTTTTGTTGCTGATGCTGATTTTTTTTTTTTTTTTTTTTTTTGCTTTGAGGTACAATTGACAAATTAAAGTTGCATATATTTTAGGTGTACAACTTGATGTTTTGAAGATGCTCCATTTTTTGTTTTTTTTTTAATCAAAGTCTTTATTACCCAGGCTGGAATGCAGTCGTGCAATTACGGCTACCACAGCCTCAAAGTTCAGAGCTCAGGCTATCCTTCTGCCTCAGCCTTCCAAGTAGCTGGAACTACAGGCACACGCCACCAAACACAGCTAATTTTTGTATTTATTGTAGAGATGAGGTCTTGCCAAATTGCCCGGGCTGGTCTTGAACCTGTGGACTCAGGTAATCCTCTCACCTCAGCTTCCCAAAGTGCTGGGATTACAGGCTTGAGCCACCATGCCCAGTCAGATGATCAGTTTTAATGGTACTTGACATTCACCCTGGAAGGTGGAGATCATTAGCCCCAGATCATAGCTCAGGAAACTGAGCTCAGAGAGGGGAAATGACTTGTCCATGGCCACACAGCAGTGAGAGGCAGAGCCAGGGATCTGACCTGTCAGAGCTCTTTGCTCTGAGACACTGACACAAGGAGAAAGACAGAAATCCTTTAGAGTAGGTATGAGAGACCTAGTCCCTAAGTAAGACATAAAGGGCAGGACACGGCAGGACAGAACAGGAAATACAGAGCTCATACCCGAGTGCAAGATAGAGAGCTAGAGCCCTCTCTAGGCAGCATCTCAGAAGCTCTGTGAGGCAATGGACCAGCTTGCCAGGGCACAGATGATGGGGCAAGGCTGGACACAGGGCTCTGAGTTTATAGCCCTGGTAGAGAATGGTCCAGACCCCAGACTACTCCCTCTCTGCAGGGAACCACAGGACAGACAGCAGTGTCCAGACAAGCAGTGGTTCAGCCTCACCTTTATCTCTTAATTGGCCCTTTATTTTTACCTAGACTATAATCCCACCCCAGGTGGCAGATTTCACAGGAAGAGACTTTCAGAGGAGCCAGCTCTGCCTGGACCAGCCCTTGCAGAGGCTGAGCCAGGGGAGAGGATGTAGGAGACAAAATTAATGCCCCCTCAGCTCCTGGGTCTGTGATAGCCCAGGTCTGACACTCACCAGAGGGTTGGGCAGGCAGCAGAATGCCTTCTCTTCCACACCCTTGCCTGTGGAAACTCCCACATCGGGCTGGTCTAAAGGAGGATGAGTCCTAGCTTCCATTTTGGGACTGGGGGTGAGAGACAGATGGGGGTTGAGGTGGGAATGAGAGCTTGTGTTATGTTCTCTAACAGCTTCCAGTTGGGTCTCAGATTCTGACTTAAAAACCAAATATGAGGATATAACACTCAGTCAGGAAGAGAGACAGCTCAGGGTAGGTGGGCCCCTCTCAAATCATGGGGATGGGGGAGAGCAAGCCCTGAGCAACTAGACCCAGACGATCCTGGAAACCCAGAATTCCTGGAGAACGTGCTCCCATTGCCACAACCTTCCCTCCCAAACTTCCATTATACCCAGTCTTGGAGAGGGTGCACCAATTACATAGACCAAACATGAATGATCTTCCTGGCAGATGTGTGCCCCCAAATTTTCTACCTACAGCAAACATTGCTAATCAAATCACAGTCTCTAGTCCACGTGCAGCGGCTCATTCCTGTAATCCCAGTGCTTTGAGGGAGGGTGAGGCAGGAGAATTCAAGACCAGCCTAACCAACAAAGTGAGACTTCATCCCTACAGGAGAAAAAAAAACTATCTGGGTGTGGTGATGTGCACTTGTGGTCCTAGCTGCTAAGGAGGTTGAGCAGATGGACTGCTTGAGCCCGGGAGTTCAAAGCTGTAGAAAGCTATAATCAGTCCACTGCATTCAAGCCTGAGTGACAGAGGAGGCGGTGTCTCTAAAAAGAAAAGAAAAAAGTGCATTCTCTGCTCAGAGGGACTCAGAGTTCTTCTCCAAATGGGGCCTCAAACAACCCCTGTCAATTTCTCAGAGCTAGTATATCAGATGCTGAGTATCTGCCCTCATTTGCCCTGACTTCCTGGAGTTCATCAAACAGAATACGTCTGGAAAAGACCACTTCAGTGCTTTATGGGGAGGGGAATACACTCCGTCACAATGCAGGGCCCTGAGCCCAGCAAGATCTCCAGCTCAAGATGCAGCTGGTTGGCCGTGACTCTGTAGTGGCCCTTGATGAGACCCCTGGTAGCACAGGAATGACACCTCCAGTAGGCCTGGATGATGCGGACAGCGTTGAGCACCTGGCAGTAGCGCCGGCGGATGCGCCACATGCGGGCCCAGGACTGTAGTGTGACTGCTGCCCACTCCTTCCGCGAGAAGTTCTCCAGCACCACCCGCCGCCGTTTCTCCAGGAGCCTGGACAGGATCAACCGCCACCAGCACTGAATGATCCAGGCGCAGAGGGCTGCATGCAGCAGTGTCCGACGTACCAGTGTGCCCCGCCACCAGGCCTGAATCTTCAAGACTGTCATATCATTGTTAGGGAGCTTTTTTTGGTTTGGGGGGGACTTTCAAGAAAAAAAAAGAGAGACATTTAGAGAATGCTCCCCACCCACTTCAGCCCTAGGGTGTGCCAGGAAAGGTCCTGATTTCTTATCAGCAATTGCCCCTTCTTCTGGAATTCAGAAGCACTGGGCAGGGCACTGGCTGGAAACTGAAGACCAGGTAGGTGTCCTGCCTCTGCCACCTACAGGTTGATGGCCATATCACATCACCTTGCCTCTAAGTGTCAGTGTCCCCGTCCAGGAATACACCTGCCCTGGCTGCGTCATCCTGTTTTCCATGGACCCAGTTGGCCACTCTAGAACAAGAACACTGTAATCTAGGGTCAATGAGTTATCATGCCTCACCCGGGCCCAATCACCTACCTGGAATCCACGGCCCTTCCTTTCAGTCCCCTCCCAACTGCTGGAGAAGTATCATTCTTTGCTGGCCCTGCTCTTTCATCCCCAACTCCAGCTCAAATTCACACCTGTTCTCTCTCTGTCACATCATAGTCTTAAAAGTTTTCCCCACCCTGTAAAGTTCTGTTCCTCTTGTATCTTCCCCATCTTCACTTTTCTTGACTTTCACACTTTAAATCTTAATTCGCAAGCAAACATATATGTACACGCACACACACACACACACACACACACACACACACACACACACACACATCTCTACCTAAGCCCAGCTGCCCATATTGTGGTCATTCCACTCTACAAACACAGTCCTTACATCCTCATCCCCAGCTCCAGCACTGCGTGGTGTGGGAGATCGTACTTGTTTCTCTTTCACATCGGCCTTATCTGCTGCTTGTGTCTCAACAGGATCCAGAGTTTCAGCCTGAAAGAGAAATGGGGAAAGAAGACAAACAAAAATGAAGGGGTTTTTTTCTGTTCTTACCTCAGGACCCTGCAAAAGACTCTAGCCACAAGCACTGGGACCCAAGATCAGTAGCATCCAAGTCAGGGCTCCTCCTACCTCTGCTTTGGCCTTTGAGATTGGTGGCGTTGAGGTTGGCTTCCCCTTCTTCTGAGGTTTATCATCTTTTGTGGATTTCTTAGTCTTTTTAGGCTGCTTCGCCTCCTACAGTCAGCATTAGGGTAAAGACAAGAGTAGCGTTGCCATGCCACCCTTTCCATCAAATACCCACACATCCCCAGCTTCCAGAGTCTTCAATGTCTTTAATGTCAGTAGGTCCTCGTCCTGAGACATCCATGGGGACATCCCTCACAAGCCCACTGTGTCTGGTTCTCCCCTGCTCACCATTGGCCACACATGGATTGGGTGTAGATGGTTCAAATCCCCTCAGGTCTCTGTTTCTCCAGCCATGGCACAGGCAGGGAGAGTGGAGGAGGGAGACCTATGATGTCATAAGGGCACCTATGACTCAGGCATCAGATGACTCCTAACAGGTGAGGCCCCTCCAAGGAAAGGGCTAAAGTGCTGCCAATTCTTTTCTGTGAGAAATGGGCAAAAGCCCTGACCTCAAATGGCAAAATAGCAGAAATACTGGCCCATTGATGTAAAGGTGTATAAAAATAGTCATTCACTAGTAATAACATTTAATTGAAAAAAATGTAAATAACCATCAATAGGGGATTGATTTAATGATGTATACATAGTTCACTCATACTATAAAATACTACATCATTATTAAAAATAATGAATTTGCTAGACATGGAGGCTCATGCCTATAATACCAGCACTTTGGAAGGCTAAGGTGGAAGGATCACTTTAGCCCAGGAGTTCAAAACCAGCCTGTGCATCACAGCAAGACTTTGTCTCTACCAAAAAAATCAAAAAATTTTGATGGTGCATATCTGTAGTCCCAGCTACTTGGAAGGCTGAGGAGGAAAGATTGCCTGAGCTCAGGTGGTCAAGGCTGTTGTGAGCCATGATCATACCACAGGCACTCCAGCCTGGATGACAGTGAGAACTTGACTCAAAAATAAAATAAAGAGACAAACCATATGCTTCCTATAAGAAATCCATTTTATATATAATAATATAGGCAGGTTAAAAGTAAAACAAGTCTAGGCCAGGTGCAGTGGCTCACACCAGTAATCCTAGCACCTTGGGAGGCTGAGGTGAGAGGATTGCCTGAGCAACTTGCCAGGGGTTTGAGACCAGCCTGAGCAACTTGGCAAGACCTCGTCTCTACAATCAATCAAAAAATTAGCTGGGCATGGTGGTACATGCCTGTGATTCCAGCTACTTGGAAGATTGAGGCAGAAGAACCACCTGAGCTGGGCAGGTAGAGGCTTCTGTGGCCATGAGTGTGCCACTGCACTCCAACCTGGGTGACAGAGTGAGACTCTTACTCAAAAAAAAAAAAAGAAAGAAAGAAATGTAAAACAAGTACTTAATGCCAGCACTTTAAGAGGCCAAGGCAGGAGAATTGCTTAAGTCCAGAAGTTCTAGACCAGCCTAGGCAACATAGCAAGACCTCATCTCTACCAAAAAAAAAAAAAAATTGCCAGGCATGGTGGCATGTGCCTGTACTCCCAGTCTCTCAGAAAGCTAAAAGAAGGATCATCTGAGCCCAGAAAATAAAGGCTGCAGTGAGCTGTGACAGTGCTACTACACTCCAGCCTGGGAGACAGAGTGACTCTGACTCAAAACAAAAAAGAATATGCCCTATATAATTTCATTTATATAAAATTCTAGAAAAAGGCCAGAGAGCGGATCAGTGATTTCCTGGAGATTGGGGTGGGACTTAGGAGGGGTAAGAGGAAGGAATTACCAAGAAACATAAGGAAACATTTAGGAGTGATAGATATCAAACACAGCCCAAATCCTATCAGATTAACATAAATCTGCACACTAAAGGCCTATTTACTTCAGTTCTAATTACCTGATACATGACCAGCTTTCAACAGAAAATTGCAAGTCATGCAAAAAGGTAGAACACACACATATCACACACACACAATCTGAAGGGAGAAAGCGTTCATCAGAATCAAACTCAGATACAACACAAATGTTGAAATTATCAGACAGGGGATTTAAAATAGCTGATGAGTATATGAAGGGCTCAAGTAGAAAACGAGAAAACGTAATGCAAAAACAGATGGGTAATGTAAAAAAGAGTTAGAAACTCTAAGAATCAAAAAGAAATGCTAGAAATAAAAAAATTATAGCAGAAATGAAAAATATCTTCAATGTGCTTATCTGTAGGCTTGACATGACTGAGAAAAGATTCATTGAGCTTGGAAATATGCCAGTAGAAACATCCCAAACTGAAACACAAAGGGAAAAGAGAATGGGAGGGAACAGAACAGAGCATCCAAGAACTAGAGTCAATTTTTAAAATATGTAACAAATATGCACCTGGAATACCAAAAGGAGAAGAGAGAACAGAGCAGAATAAATATTTGCAAAAACAATGGCCAAGAACTTTCCAAATTAATGGTAGATACCAAATCATAGAGCCAAGAAACTCAGAGAACAACAAATAGGATAAATGCCCAAAAACTACACCTAAGTATATCATATTAAAACTGCAGAAAAACCGAGCCCAGTGGCTCAGCCTGTAATCCCAGCGCTTTGGGAGGCTGAGATGAGTGGATTGCCTGAGCCCGCGGGTTCAAGACCCCCCCTGGGCAACTTGGCGAGACCTACCGGGCGTGGTAGCGTGTGCCTGTAGTTCCAGCTATTGGAAGGCTGAGGCGGAAGGATCGCCGGAGCCCAGCAGGTCGAGGTTGCAGTGACCGGGTGCGGCCACTGCACTCTATCCAGTCTGGGTGACAGAATGAGACTCCAACTCAAAAAAAAAAATTAAATTTAACTCAAAATGGATCATAGCTCTGAATGTAACACATAAAACTTTAAGGAGAAAACTTTTATAGTGTTGCATTAAATAAACAGTTCTTAGGTATGACACCAAGACCATTATCTATGAAAGAAAAAAATGAAATCACTTAAATTTGATTTCAAAATTGAAAACGTTTGCTCAGTGAAAGAAATTGTTAACAAAACAAAAACTCAAGCCACAGAACTGGAGAAAATATATGCAAATCACTTCCTAGAAGGGACTTGTATCAAGACTATATCTCAAACTCTCAAAATTGAATAAGTAAATTATTAATAATTAAAAATTGGCAAAGAATTTAAATAAACACATCACCAAGGAGGATATAATTATAGCAAGTAAATGCATGAAATAGTGTTCAACATCATAAGCCATTAGGAAAATGCAAATTAAAACCGCAATGAGATGCCACTATGCCCCTGTTAGAATTGCTAAAATAAAAAATCATGGCAGCACTAAGAGCTAGCAAGAATGATGAATAACCAGAACATTGGTACACTGCAGGTTGAAATGAGAACAATACAGCCACCCTGGTAAATGCTTTGACAGTTTCTTATAAAATAAACATACACTTACTATATGACCCAGCAATTCTACTCCCGAGTATTTGCCCCAGTGAAATTAAGACTTATGCGCACATGAAAATATGAACATAAAGAGTCACAGCAGCTTTAATTGTAATAGCCAAAAACTTGAAACAACCCAAATACCCTTCAAAGGGTGAAATTAGCAAACAAAAACTGTTGTATATCTATACAATGGAATATAACTCAGCAGTAAAAAGGAACAAGCTGTTGATACATGCAACAATTTGTACAAACCTCAGAGACATTATGCTGAGTAATAGAAGTCAGTCTCAAAAGGCTATATATTGTATGATTCTATTTATTTGACATTCTCAAAAGGCAAATACCCTTATATTAAAATGAGCAGCCGGGCTCGGTGGCTCAGCCTGTCATCCCGTGCCTTTGGGAGGCTGAGGTGAGTGGATTGCCTGAGCCCGTGGGTTCGAGACCCGCCTGGGCAACTTGGCGAGACCTCATTTCTATAATAAATCAAAATGAGCCGGGTGTGGTAGCACGTGCCTGTAGTTCCAGCTACTTGAAAGGCTGAGGCGGAAGGATCACCGGAGCCCAGCAGGTTGAAGCTGCGGTGGCCGGGAGCGGCCTCTGCACTCCAGTCTGAGTGACAGAGTGAGACTCCAACTCAAAAATAATAAAAAATAAAAAATAAATAAAATGAGCAAAAGATTTGAACAGACGCTTCACCAAGAAGTAATATACAGATGAAAAATAGTCCCATGAAAAGACACCCAACATCATTATTCACTAGGAAATACAAATTAACACTAAAGTGAGATACCACTATACACTTATTCAAATGGCTAAAATTTTAAAGTACTAACAATAACAAGTATTATAAAGGATATGAAACACAGTGGCTCATGCCTGTAATCCCAGCACTTTGGGAGGCTGAGGCAGGAGGATAGCTTGAGCCCAGGAGTTTGATACCAGCTTGGACAACATACTGAGACCTCATGTCTACAAAAAAATTTAAAAACTAGCTGGGCATGGTGGTGCATACCTGTAGTTCCAACTACTCAGGAGGCTGACACAGGATTGTTTGAGCCCAGGAGTTGGAAGCTGCAGTGAGCCATGATCGTGACACTGCACTCCAGACTGGGCAACAAAGTGAGACCCTGACTCAAAGAGAAAACAAAAAAGGATATAGAACAACTAGAACACTCATAAATTGCCAGTAGGAATCCAAAATTGTACAGCTACTCTGGAAAAGTTTGGCAGTTTCTTATCTGAAACATAAGACCCAGCAATTTAGCTCCTTGGTATTTACCCTAGAGAAATGAAAATTTACACCCACAAAAGTTCATAGTAACTCTATTTATGACCACCAAAAATTAGAAACAAAGCCGGGTGCTGTGGTTCATGCCTGTAATCTGAGCACTTTGGGAGGTCAAGGAAAGAGGACCCAGGACCAGCCTGGGCAACATAGTGAGACCTCGTCTTTACAATAAATCAAAAAATTAGCCAGTTGTGATGATGTACACCTGTAGACCCAGCTACTTGGAAGGCTGAAGTGGAAGGATTACCTTAACCCAGCAGGCTGAGACTGCGGTAGCTGTGATCATGTCACTGTACTCCTGCCTGGGCGACAGAGTGAGATCCTGACTCAAAAAAAGAAAATTAGAAACAACCCAAATGTCCACCACATAAACAACCTGGGGTCCACTTATACAATAGAATACTACTTAGTAAGAAAAAGGATGCAACAATATGAGTGAATTTCAGACACTATGCTGAGTCAAAGAAGCCAGTCTCAAAATGTTTCATACAGTGTAATTCTATTTATGTGACATTCTCAAAAAGACGGATCTGTGGCTGCCAGGAGTTAGTGATGGGGAAGGTTTAATGACAAAGGGGCAATACAAGGAGTTTTTTAGGGTAACAAATTCTGTGTCTTGGTTGTGATGGTGGCTATATGAATCTATATATCTATTATAGTTTACAATTTCCAGAGCTGTCCACACCCCCCAAAAAGTCAATTTTGCTATACAATAATTTTTAAAATTTTAGAAGCCTTGTATATCACATCAAACAAGTTTATTGTGCATAAATTTTAAAAGCAACTCAGAGCAATCATGATCCTCATATTTGGGTCTATATATTTCAGGAGCAAAGAAATGAATGAAGGCTTCTGCACTACAAGGAACAGAAATGATTCCACCTTCAGAGCCCAGGGTAACTAGTGGGCTAGAGCCCAGGAAGAAGGGAGACCCAAACAGGGAGGAGGCCCAGGAGCTGAGGCACTGGAGAATGTGGTGACACTGGGGGCAGGGAGTTGCTGAGGCCTTGAGTGCCACCAGAACTGGCTCAGACTCTAGCCAGTGGGCAGGGAGGAGCCACCACAGGGGCTGAGGAACAGGGGTAGCACCACCCAAGGGGAGGTTTTGAAGGTGTACTGAGTAAGGGGTCTGGGACCAGCATGGTGGGGTGAGCCTCCTGGAGCTGGAGGAAGTAACACAGGGAGCAAGATATAAGCACCTCCCAGGCCTCACTGAGTGACTGCCAGGTGCAGAAGTACCAGCATTCCAGGGCCTCTCCCACTCTCCAACCTCATTCCCACTGTCCTCCACCTTCTCTATCAGAGTTTCCTCCCAGAGGTTCTCAGTAGACCCCTTCAGGGAGGGGAGAAAAAGAGAAGAAAGCAGGGGACAGTGAGGGTCCTGATGAGATCAGCCCTCCACAGATGCTCTTAGCTCCATGGCCTACAAAGGGAAAGCAGGTCTCCTGGGAGTGGGCCATGCTAAGATGGCCCATTGGCCCCTACCTCAGTCATTTTTCTGCAGCAGTTTCCTCGTCACCTCCAGATAAGTGAACCTCTCATGCAGAACCTGGCATAGCTGCATTCTCAGGAGGATCTGGCAGTTGACTTGGTGGATGCTGCACCTTGAAAAATCCTGTGGCCCCTTTTCCAGACCTTCATTGTGGTCCTCACCCAATCATGTCCAGTAACCTGTTTGCTGGCCTGTCTCCTCCCTTATTTGGCTCCTGGTGGGTGGAGTCCAAGTATTTTCCTCACATGTGTCCCCACATGCTAAACAGTGCTGGCATGTCGCAAGTTCCAAATAAATGCTCATTGAATGAATGAATGAACGAATATTATAAGGTAAAACAGACCAAATTGCTTCTCTATGAAGACCCAAGGCCCTCAGGTCCTGAGATCCTTCCCTCCATTTCTAGGGACAGGTCCTATCACTGCTCTCCCCTGCACCCAATGTCCCCAGTAGGGGTGGGGGTGAGTGGGCAGTAACTGGGCTGGGATTGAGAAGATTCTGCACTGGGGAAGGTGGAGTTTAGCACTGGGAACTGGACAGAAACCAGATCAGCAAGCACTAAGATAGGGGTGGGGAAGAGAGAAAAGGCAGAGATGTGGTGGATTTGGAAGGCAGAGGAAGGCCTAGGAGGGGCAGGGGAGCAGGTACTTGGAGAAGAGCTGGTAGGTAACCCCTCCCTGGACTAGCTGTCACTCTCTTACCTCTGCCCAGGTTTTCTGTCTATACACTTCTCCAGTCAGGAGACTCTAGGAAATGGATCTTTCAGAAAGATTGTCTTGGGGCCTATGCACAGGGTATTCCAAGTCTGAGGATATGTTCCCCCTTGACCTTCTCATCATTCCGGTCTCGCTCAATGTCGCTTCTCAAGAGACATTTCAGACCACATGCCCCAGTCTGTCCTCTTACTCAGCTTCACCTGTTCAAAACACTGGTCATCTGAATTTGTGTCAGGTGTCTCGTTTATATGCTTTATACTTCCAGTAGGCAAGCATCTTTAATATGGGAACTTTTTCTTGTTCATTTCTGTATCCCCATGGCCTAGAACAGGAAGTGGGACATCATTGGAACACAATAAAGTTTTGTGGGACTGACGATGGATAAATGGAAGCATGGATGGATGGATAGATGGATGGATGGATGGATGGATATGCCACAGAGGGCTAGGGACAGTTTTCCAACAGAAAAATTGAGTTACATTTCCAGAAGAAAATGAGAATGAGTACTTGATGGACAAAGTCATAGGTTTCCAAGACATATTACTGTCACCATCCCCATAAAGTAGCCCCAACCCTTGTCACTGCTACTAGCCAGTGCATTCCAGAGCTGCAGAAAGATGAAACTCAGGGTGCGCGCCACAGGCCCATACTGGGAAGAAACTGAGTTGCCAGCCCTATTGCCTTTACCTCCCTGGCTCCTTGTATCCCGTTGGAAGATGAGTTGATGGTAGATTCCCCTCAAAGAGTGGCCTTACTTCTAGGCCCATTCTCAAGCAGGAAGGAAGAGTGGATACAAGCTGCTTATCTGCCATGTCACCCTTCTAGTAGTGGTCAGCAGGTTAGAACCTGGTCGTTCCATCCTCATCTCCTGGACCATTAGAATCTGAGGTTGCCCTCCAGCAGCATCCCCTGCCCAATCAGGAGTAGAAAAACCCCAGCTCTAGCAGGAGAGTGGGGGAATGATGTTCTGGATTGAGCAGATTATATGGCGGATTCATTACGGAAAAGTCCCCAGTTTCGGTACACTTTGCAACATGACTTGGGAGTCGCTCTCATCAAAAGATGGAGTCTCTTTCTCTTGAATCTGGCGTGCTCTGCCATTCATTTTGACCAATCAAACGTGATAGAAGTGCTAGATCCTAGCCTGAACCTCTAGATGGTTGGCATGCTTCTGCTCACTCTCCTGGAATCCTGTTCAGACACATGAACAGACCTGGGCTAGCCTGCTATAGAATGAGAAACCACATACAGAGGTGCAGTTTTCCTAGTGGATCTGCTGCCAGCCAAATTTCAAGCAGATCAGTCAAGATCAGCAGCACCCCCAGACCCACAGCTGACTGCAAAAGCGTGAGTAAGCTCAGCTGGGACCAGAAGAAACTCCCAGTGGACCTATTTGCTCTCAGTCACTGAGTTTTGAGATGGTTCTGTCATCCAGCAATAGCTAGCTGACTGATGCAGCAGCCATGGAAAGCATCCACTCACTCTCCAACTGAGAGCTGAAACAGCCAGATTTTGGCCAAAGCAGGAGAAGAGAAGGGTCCTGGGAGAGACTGAAGGCACCAGTTTGCTGAGGGTAGCCCCTGCCCAAGAATCCAGCAACAGTCAGAAAGCCCCAGCTGAGCAAGGCTAAGCAGAATTAAAACTATGGGAGAAGCGATTTTCAGTTTCAGTTCCAAGTGTTTGTTTTCACTTCCTGAGAATGTACTAATAGAAAAGGGTTTACATGTTCAGGGCTTTTCCTTGATGCTTGCAAGGCTACTGTGGAGGTATGTTTAGGACACTACTGAGCTCAAATTAAGGTAGGATATATGAGGGAGTGAATTCTCTGATCCTTTGCAGGATTTTCGTGGGCTTAGTCTGACCTTGACCCAATAACCCTAGGAGGACAACTGCAGGCACAGGTCAGTCTGAGGGGGAGCCCTGTGGTTTCCCCCTCCCAGGGAACGACATCACCCTTTCATAATTTCAGCTGTGGGACCAGTGAGCTAATGGCTTTTACCTTAACACCCCCTTCTCATTTTTCCCTGAGGAGGGGCCCTCGTTGTGCCTCCACACCTCCAGCCCACCTCTTTACCTCCTCCTCGTTAGCTTCACCCACAGCAGGAGTGAACTACCTAGCTGGTGAAATCAGGGAATATGAACATTCCTTTGATACAGAAGGGTCATGGCTGTGACAGGCAATGCAGCGTGTCCCATCCCTTCAGCCTGGTTATGTCATTCAGACCAAAGGCAGAGTTCTTCCCAACTTTGACTCTTGTTCCCAGACAGTAAGCCCATCAGTGCAGGGTCAGTCCCACTCCTATTCCAGACCCCTGCACCTCAAGGGCAGTCTGTCCCCTCCAGCTTCCTCACCTGGTCTGGGTGAGGAACTCAAGTCAGCCTGCCTTGCAGGCCCAGTTGTCCACAGTTCAATTCTGACCCCAGCACCAGCCCTTACACACAATTGGACAGCCGTGGCTTCTGAGACGAGGGGTCAGTAGCTTTAGACCTCTATCAAGCATTGGCTGGGGAGCTTCCTGATGAGGCCATGCAGGATACTCAGGGACCAGGAGCTTGGAGCCGCTGAGATCTCCATCCCAGTTTCTTTGGAAAAAGATAAAAGCCCTCAGGCTAGCAGAGGGGCAAAGCTGAGTGACTACTGGAGTCCTGTCCCTCCGCAGGCCTCTTCTGGCCTATAGTCCCTGTTACACCCCTACCCTCAAGAAGCTGCAAGAAACAAGGCCCAAAAGAAAAGGCTTTTAATACAAAGAGGGTGGAGCCTGGCCTGGGAAGGACTTAAATAAGGAGGGAGAGTGTCAGGAGCCAGCAGCCGGGGGCACAGGGACCCTTCGGAGTGGGATGATGCAGACAGAGTTCCGAGCCTCTTTGATTCGCCACCATCGGCCAAGTCTGCAGGGGATGAAAGAAACAGCTGAGACCTGGCCCAGCCCTACCCAGTCTCCACCCCATCCCCACCCAGCTGCCCAGCCAGCACCACTTTGCCCTCACCTGCACTCTCAAAGGTCACACATACCTGTGCTCCTGCCCCACTCCAGCTACCAGGAAGTCCCCAGCACTGGAGAACTTCAGGCTGTTGATAAAACCCATCTGAGGAGAGAGAAAACCAATGTGGTAAGACATTAGAATATCCCTCCACCATCACAGTCAAGGGCTTGGCCTTACCAGGCCTAGATTAAATCCCTGCTGTGCCTCTTGCCACCTCATGAGATGGGCCTGCCCTTAACCCATCAGCCTCAGCCTCCACATCTGTGAGATGGAGCACATAGAGCACTAGGCTGGCAATGAGTTTGTGAGGGTTAAGGAGACAGTGTATGCCAAGTATGTGCCAAGGCTGTGGCTTAAGGCCTGGCTCCTGGTTGTGAGGCCTGGAGACCCATGACTGTCACCACTGACCCAGGCCCTGCACTCTCAGCACATGTCACTTACAGATTCTACTCTCTCCCAGGCTGCCCAAGTATGGACGATCAAGTCCACATACCCTAGCTTGGCACTTGATCTGGTACCAGTTGTGCAGAACCAATTACAGCATCAGGTCTCCAGGTCTTTTCCCATGCTGTTCCCTCCCTTGTACCCAAGACAGGGCCTAGGACAGAGAGGGAGGCAGAGGAGGGAAAGGGGCAAGAGGAAGGAGGAGGGAAAGGGGCAAGAGGAAGGAGGATTCCTGCCAGGTCTTGTGCCAGGAGCTGGCCCTGCCATGAGGAGGGTCCTTTCTGGCAGGACAAAGGACATTAAAGAGTTAATCCCAGGGACATGAGCTCCAAGGACCTCAGAAGTGTGGCAAAGACAGGCTGAGCATTCAAGTTCCACTCACCATGGGAATGTCGCAGAGATGGTCAAGCCGCCGGAAGCCCTCCCCACACTGCCAAAGCCGCACGCAAGAGCTGTGGGAGCCTGGAAGGACAAGGATGGTGAGCAACCCCCATACCAGTCTACCCTGAGACCCCTCCTCCCTGCCTCGCAGGGCACATGCCTGTGGCCACAAGGTCTGTGTTGAGTAGGGCTGCCACTGACGATACCCAGAAGGGTTGCTCCAGACCTGGCTCCCCATGCAGCCCATGAGCTTCACGCTGCAAGGCAAGTGGCCGCTTCTTGGAGAGGCCCCACAAGGCCACGGATCTATGGATAGGAGTAGTCTATGAGGGGGGCAGGGGTAGGACAAAGGCCACACAGCAGGAAGGGATCAAGGATACACACACCAGTGGCAAGATGTGAACAAGGTCACCTGAGCAATCTGCCTCGGTGTCCTCATCTGTGAAAAGGAGTTACACCAGCTCCCCCACAGGGCTAAGAGGCAAGCTCAAGGCCTGGCAGGGAGCAAGCACTAGGGAGCAGCAGCAGTGGTGGTAGACATCAAAAGGCAGCTCTTACCCATCATCTGCACCTGACACCATGTGTTCCTCATTGATTAGATGGATGCAGTCAATGGAGCCCCTGGAAGAAGGGGCTGTGAGGGGCATGGCCAGACTCCACCCTCAGCCCACACAGTCCCCACCTGACACAGCAGCTGCCTTACTGGTGGCCATAGAAAACAAGCTGGGACTCTTCAGGGATCTTCCACACACGCACAGTCCCATCCCGGCCTCCGGCTGTCACACAGCACTCCCGACTCAGGGCATCCAGTGCAGCCACAGCATCCTGGTGCCCGAAGCTGGAAGGCAGGACACAACAGGACAGGGGTCACACATGAACTCACACACACAAAGCTGCATACCTTCTCCCCATGCACACTCACAGTGTCTCCACATAGGCATTCTCCGCCACATTCCACACCTTCACAGAGCGGTCATGGGATGTGCTGTAGAGCTGGTGGGTGCCTCTGCGGAATGCTAGCCCCTAAGGGTACATGGAGAGAGACAAAAGGGAACCTGGGCTATAGCCGGCAAGAGAGAGGTCAGGCCCAGGGAGGACTTCCCAAAAGCAAGTCACATGGTACAGCTAGCTCCCCATGAAAGCACTCTATTATGGCACTTCTGTGTGGCCCACATGCCAGCCTGCTTATGAGCAGATGCAGACTTCTCAAGGCCCTCCTGATTTCTGAGCAAGCTCAACTCAGTCACCCCCCCAGCTCCACCCCATCCCTTCAGCCTGTTTATGTCCTTTACAGCAGGGGTTCCCAACTCCCAGGCCATGAACCGGTATCAGTCTGTGGCCTGTTAGGAACTGGGCCACACAGCAGGAGGTGAGAGGTGGCAAGCGAGTGAGGCTTCTTCTGTAGTTATAACTGCTCCCCATCGCTCACATTACAGCCTGAGCTCTACCTCCTATCAGATCAGCACTGAAAAGCCTGCTTCCGTTACCAGCATCCTATCTTTGTAAAGCAGAGTTTTCTGCAGTGACAGCAACCAAAATGAGATTACAGAGTAGACTGGACATAAGCCAATACACTTTGGGTGTCACTGTCTCCCCTCACCCCCAGATGGGACCATCTAGTTGCAAGAAAACAAGCTCAGGGCTCCCACTGCTTCTGCATTATGTGAGTTGTATAATCACTTCACTATATATTACAAAGTAATAATAATAAAAATAAAGTACACAATAAATGTAATGCACTTGAATCATCCTGAAACCATCGCCCCTGCCCAGGTCCGTGGAAAAACCATCTTCCATGAAACCAATCTCTGATACCAGAAAGGTTAGGTATTGCTGGCTTACAGCACCACTCACTACCCCAGGGTGTAGGTTCCCTGAGCACAGGGCCTGGCCCACTCAGTAGGAGCACACTAAATATTCACTAAGGAAGGCCCAGCTCCTTACCGACACAGCGTCCCGGTGCCCAGTGAAGGTGTACAGATGCCTGCAGCTCTGGGCCTCCCAAATGAGAATGAGCTTACTGCGGTCACCCGAGGCCTGTGGGGAAGAATACAATGACCACAGGCACACACTGTGCACGCAGACCTCCCTCCTGCCCCCAAGGCCAACCTGGTCTTACAAGGTACTTGCCATCAGAGGAGATGGCCATGCAGAGGATGTGGCTGCTGTGGCCAGGGGGCTGTCCCTCAGCACTTTTCTTGGCTCGAGGAATCACATGCAGCTTCCGTCCACTCTCCATACTCCCTGCCACCAAGGGGGAGAGAAGTTACTAGAACGGGGGGATGGATGTGACTGACAACACCTCCCCAGGGGCAGCATGGGTAGAGGGGCCATGGAAAAATTCCTGGACTCGGTCAGAAGACCTCTGAACAAGTCACCTCAGTTTCCTCATCTATTAAGTGGGTGTAATAGTCTCGGACAACAGCCATGACAACCACAGAAAAGAAGGAATACAAAAGTGTCCTGGGATGGATGGTGTAAATTCTTCCAGTTACACAGTGGTTGGGTGAGGACACTGCTCAGCTGCTGAAAGTTGAGAATCCAGAAGGGCCAGGGACTCAATTCCAGGAATTTGCAGAGCCTCAAACATCTTCTAGTCCAACCACCCACCTGTGGCGTCAATTCCCATTAAGTCATTGTCCTGCCTTTGCTCAACTGTCTCTAGGGACGGGGAGCTCATAAACCCCACGCTAGACAGAAACTCTCATTGTCAGGAAAGCACCCCTTGGGAAGTAAACCCACCTCCAGAGGCTTCCCCACTTCAAGGATGACTATTCCCTCTTCCCAGACCAACCCTGCTGGATGTGTCCTGGGTGCTGCACCTCCACCAAGGCACTCACATTTAATGATGGTGCAGTCTTTGGCGGCAGAGAAGATCGCCAAGTCATCTGGAGTGATGACCAAACATGTGATGGAGAGCTGGTGGCCCCGTAAAACTCGAATGTCACCTGGAGTGGGGACCTGGATCTGGACAGACAGGGGCTGGGTCACTGGGATGGGGACATGAAGGCACCCTCCACCCCAATACCGGCCCTGCCCACTCACCCTCACCAAATTGAAAACAGGACCCATGGTTGCAAGGAGCAAATCCTTATCTGACCCTGTCTGCCCAAGTATCCACTTTGTTCCAGAGCAAAAACCCTCAGAGCCTGAGCCCCTATTGAGCCATCTGTCCACCAACCCAAGTGGGACCCCAAATTCTCTTAAACGTTATACCAAAGTACTGCACTCACTCACCTCCTTTGCCACGGACTTCTGCAGCCTGCCTCTCTGCTCAAGCTGCATGAAGGGAAGAAGGGTGAGGTTCCGGGAGCAGGTCCAGCCTCACTCTTACCTCCCCTACCCTCCCCTCCACACTCACCACATCCTCCTTCAGGCGCCCTGCCACCTGGTCCTCCTCAAAGGCTCGGGCCTCGGCCTTCTCCTCCTCTGTGCAGGACAGACCAGACCAAATAAACCAAGACTGAGCCTCCACTCTTCCTTTCCCATCCCATCCCCTCCCCACCGTCTCAGTGCTGGGTTCTGCAGGAAGTTCAGGCTGCCTCAGCAGAGCAGAGAGTGGGCTGGAGGGTTTCCTCTTGCCTTACTTCTCAGGTTGAAAGCCCCACAGGTGCCCCAGGAGGCCCATTAGAGCTCCAGCACTAGCAGCCCTGGCGCCCACTGGATACCTGCGTCAGTCACCCATTAGGTGGCTAGGGCTGCAACAGCGGGCAGCAGACAGGCATAAGCACAGACCCATCCCTGGCAGGCCTGCCCACTGGCTCACCTTGCTGCCGGAGCTGTTCCAAGTAAAGCTTGGCCAAGCGCAGCTTCTTTTCCTGTGCAGTCTCCTCCAGCTCTTCCTCCTCTTCCTCCTCAGGCCTCCTTGGAGCTAAGCTGTGGGCAGAAGGGGGCTGGGTCAGAAGAGCTAACCCCACTTCTCTGGCCACTAGATCCATACCTCCTCAATGCTCTCCCTGTCACTCAACCTTTCCCATCCTGGCCAGCCTCATGGCTTGTGATTAGACTGCAGAAAACTGAAAGATGACTAACCAAACACAAAGGCCCCACTCAGTGCCCAGCGTAAGCGTGGAAACAGACCCCAAACCCCAAAGTGACTGCTAAAGTCTCTCGACTCTGGGAGAAAGAGAAAGTTCAACAGGCTTCCAAGAGAAATAGATATGTACAAGGGGTCAGGAATCAAAATGATCAGATATCTCAAAAGCAGTACTGGGGAAAAAAGGCAAAGGCAGCCAGGTTCGGTGGCTCAGCCTGTAATCCCGCGCCTTTGGGAGGCTGAGGTGAGTGGATTGCCTGAACCCACGGGTTTGCGACCCGCCTAGACAGCGAGACCTCATCTCTACAATAAATCAAAAAATCAGCCGGGCATGGTAGTGCATGCCTGTAATTCTGGCTATTCAGAAGGCTGAGGTAGAAGGATCCCCGGAGCCCAGCAGGTGAGGCTGCGGTGGCTGGGAGCGGCCACTGCACTCCAGTCTGAGCAACCAAGTGAGACTCCAACTCAAAAAAAAAAAAAAGACAAAGGCACCTCACACAAAACTCTGAAGAAATATGCTTATCCCTAGAATGCCATGCCCAGTGACAACATCAACAATGAATTACGTTATTAACAGATGTGCAAGTTGCCACAGAATTAGTCCTTTCTCCTTTTTTAAGATGGATAGAGGATGTATTCCCCAAATAACAGAGTAAACTAAAGGAGAAAGGCATGGGATACCAGTAACAAGAACTCCAACACGGAGAGCAGAAGAAATGACAACCATCCCCAGACATAAGGGGTAGGGAGAGCCATTCCAATCAGATCCAAGGACCAAAGAAGCAGACACATGAGGACTATCATCGCAATAGACTCACTGCCACATACCATCCTCTACCCTCAGGACAAGGTTCTGGGTCAACCTTATCCAGTTCGGGTTTGACCTTGTGCTGAAGTTCCTGTTTTCCCCTCCATGTCCCCATCACCAGACCAGCTGAGGGCACTCATTTCACTCAAAGACAGGCCCTGCTTTGACCTGCTCTTGGGAGCTGGAGATAGGTCATGGGAACTCCAAAGCAGAAAATCCAGGGCAGCCCACTCCTCTGATCACATTCTGCATATATTTAGTTTCTGCTGGTTGCTCCAACCATGTTTCCCAGGATTCATTCATGACCTTGCCCAAGACTTCCCCAGAAGGGACCTTGAAAACTCTCAGGAAAACCAAGGCCAGACCATGCTCCAGAGACCATTTAGTGCCCTGTGCCTGGCAACAGGGCTGGTGCTACCCTTCCCTTTACACAGCCAAGGCGGGGACTTCTACTCAGTTTATCCAAATTAATCAATCACACATAGGAGGCAGAACTCTAAAGAAAAGCAAGGGATGTATACACTGTATGAATCCATTCATATGGCATGCTGGAAAAGGCACAACTCTAGGGACAGTGGTTAGTAGAATTGAGGGGAGAGACAGAGGCTGACTACAAAGGAGCAGGGGGAATTTGACAGTATGACACCCTTCTATAACTTTGTGGTAGTGGTAGTTACACAGCTGTGTGCATTTGTCAAAACTTTCAGAACTATACACTTAAAAAGGTGAATGTCATTGTATAAAGGTACACCTGAATGAGAAAATTTTATAATGTAAAAAAGAACACTCAACAGAAACCCTACAAGCCAGAAGGGATTGAGGCCTTGTCTTCAATCTCCTCAAACAGAATAACAGTCAGCCAAAGATTTTGTATCCCGTAAAACTAGGTTTCATAAATGAAGGAGAAATAAAGTCTTTCTCAGACAAACAAAAGCTAAAGGAAGTTGTTACCACTAGACCAGTTCTACAAGAAATACTCAAAGGAGTTTTAAATATTAAAACAAAAGGTCAGATTACACCAGTTTAAAAAAACACTGGAAATCATAAAGCTCACAATACTTATAGAACACCAACACAATAGAGGAAAAAAAATACAGCAACCAGGTAACAACCAGTGTGATGAACAGAATACTACCTTACATATCATTATTAACCCTAATTGTAAATGGTCTAAATGCCATTCTGCCAAAATGGATTTTAAAAAAGCCCAATCCAAATATCTGCTGCCTTCAAGAGAACCACTTAACACACAAAAGACTTCCTGTAGACTCAAGGTAAAGGGGTGGAAAAAAATATTCCATGCAAATGGAAAACAAAAACTAGCAAAAGTAGCCATTCTCATATCAGATAAAACAGATTTAAATTAACATCAGTTGACCATCATCAATAACTCAAAAAACAACAGATGCTGGAAAGGATGTGGCATAAAAGGAACACTTCTACACTGTTGGTGGGAGTGTAAACTAGTACAGCTTCTGTGGAAAACAGTGTGATGATTCCTCAAAGATCTAAAAATCGACCTCCCATATGACCCTGCAATCCCCCTACTGGAAATATGACCAGAGGAACTCAAATCACTCTATGAAAAAGGTACCTGCACACGCATGTTTATTGAAGCGTTATTTACAATAGCAAAAACATGGAACCAACCATGCTGCCCAAAAACAGAGGACTGGATAAAAAAATGTGGTACAAGCCGGGCTCGGTGGCTCAGCCTATAATCCCGTGACTTTGGGAGGCTGAGGTGAGTGGATTGCCTGAGTCCGCGGGTTCGAGACTCGCCTGGACAACTTGGCGAGACCTCATCTCTACAATAAACAAAAAATTAGCCGGGCATGGTAGCGCACGCCTGTAGTTCCAGCTACCTGGAAGGCTGAGGTGGAAGGATCGCCGGAGCCCAGCAGGTCAAGGCTGCGGTGGCCGGGAGCAGCCACTGCACTCCAGTCTGGGCAACAGAGTGAGACTCCAATGCAAAAAAAAAAAAAAATGTGGTACATATACACGATGGAATAGTACGCAGCCATAAAGAAGAACAAAACTGGCTGGGCACGGTGGCTCATGCCTATAATCCTAGCACTTTGAGAGCCTGAGGTGAGAGGACTGCCTTAGCCCAAGGGTTCAAGACCAGCCTGGGCAACTTGGCAAGACCTCATCTCTACAAAAAAATCAAAAAATCAGCAGAGCATGGTGGCACATGCCTGTAATTCCAGCTACTTGGAACGCGGAGGTGGAAGGATCACCTGAGCCCAGCAGATCAAGGCTGCAGTGGCCATGAGTGTGCCACTGCACTCCAGTCTGGGCGACAGAGTGATACTCCAACACACACACACACACACACACACACACACACACACACAAAGGACAAAATTACTAACTTTGCAGCAACTTGGATGGACTTAGAAGCTATAATACTGAATGATCTATCACAGAAACATAGAACCAAGTATGTCACACATTCTTACTCATAAGCAGACCCTGAACAACTATCTCAATACTTTAAGAAAGGGAATGACAGTAGTGGGAAACTGCCAGGGGAGAGGGGGGCACACCCCATCAACAAGGGTACCTGCATAATGAACATTTGTATACCTAACCCTGAATTGTACCCCACATATTTAAAATAAAAAATAAGACCCAGGCTCGGTGGCTCAGCCTGTAATCCCGTGCTTTGGGAGGCTGAGGTGAGTGGATTGCCTGAGCCCGCAGGTTCGAGACCCACCTGGGCAACTTGGCGAGACCTCATCTCTACAATAAATCAAAAAATTAGCCAGGCATGGTAGTGTGCACCTATAATTCCGGCTACTTGGAAGGCTGAGGCGGAAGGATCGCCGGAGCTCAGCAGGTCGAGGCTACAGTGGCCGGGAGCGGCCACTACACTCCAATCTGGGTGACAGAGTGAGACTCTAACTCAAAAAAAAAAAAAAAAATCAGCCTGGCATGGTAGCGCATGCCTGTAATTCCAGCTACTCGGAAGGCTGAGGCGGAAGGATCGCCGGAGCCCAGCAGGTCGAGGCTACAGTGGCCGGGAGCGGCCACTGCATTCCAGTCTGGGCAACAAAGTGAGACTCCAACTCAAAAATAAAAATAAATAAAATTAAATAAATTAACTTCAGTTTAAAAAAGACAAAGATGATTATTATATAATGATAAAGAGATCAATCCAACAAGAAGATTTAACAATTTTAAATGTATATGAACCTAACACCAGAGCTCCCAGCTTTATAAAACAAATTCTACTAAACCTAAGAAACAGTGAGACAGCAATACAATAATAGTGAGAGACCTTAACACTCCGTTGACAGCAACAGACAGGTCATCAAAGCAAAAGGTTAAGAAACATTGAGCCAGGCTCAGTGGCTCAGCCTGCAATCCCAGCGCTTTGGGAGGCTGAGATGAGTGGATTGCCTGAGCCCGCGGGTTAGAGACCTGCCTAGGCAACTTGACGAGCCCTCATCTCTACAATAAATCAAAAATTAGTCGGGCGTGGTAGCGCGCATGTAGTTCCAGCTACTTGGAAGGCTGAGGGGAAGGATCGCTGGAGCCCAGCAGGGTCGAGGCTGCGGTGGCCGGGAGTGGCCACTGCACTCCAGTCTAGGTGACAGGTAAGACTCTAACTCAAAAAAAAGAAAGAAAGAAAGAAAGAAACATTGGTGTTAAATGGACCCTAGCCGGGCTCGGTGGCTCAGCCTGTAATCCCGCGCCTTTGGGAGGTTGAGGTGAGTGGATTGCCTGAGCCCGC